AGTATGTATGTATGTCTTTGTGTGTGTCAGTATGTATGTCTGTGTGAGTGTCAGTATGTATGTCTATGTGTGTGTCAGTATGTATGTCTGTGTGTATGTCAGTATGTATGTGTCAGTCAGTATATGTGTGTGTGTGTGTGTCAGTTTGTATGTCTATGTGTGTGTCAGTATGTATGTCTGTGTGTATGTCAGTATGTCTGTGTGTGTCAGTTTGTGTGTCTGTATGTATGTTGGTGTGCCAGTCAGTATGTCTGTGTATGTGTCAGTATGTATGTCTGTCACAGTGTTAGTATGTCTGTCACAGTGTCTGTGTCTGTGAGTGTGTGTCAGTGAGTATCTGTATGTTGTCAGTATGTATGTATCTATCTGTGTGTGTGTGCCAGTGTGTATACCTGTGCATACTAAGATATGTAACAGGGTTGATGTTCCAGGAGGGATAAGCCAAATGACAAATGATTTAGGTAAACTAGAAAAATTGTCAGAATTGTGGCAACTGACATTTAATGTGGATAAGTGCAAGATAATGCATCTTGGACGTAAAAACCCAAGGGCAGAGTACAGAATATTTGATAGAGTCCTAACCTCAGCATATGAGGAAAGGGATTTAGGGGTGATTATTTCTGATGACTTAAAGGTAGGCAGACAATGTAATAGAGCAGCAGGAAATGCTAGCAGAATGCTTGGTTGTATAGGGAGAGGTATTAGCAGTAGAAAGAGGGAAGTGCTCATGCCATTGTACAGAACACTGGTGAGACCTCACTTGGAGTATTGTACACAGTACTGGAGACCGTATCTTCAGAAGGATATTGATACCTTAGAGAGGGTTCAGAGAAGGGCTACTAAACTGGTTCATGGATTGCGGGATAAAACTTACCAGGAAAGGTTAAAGGATCTTAACATGTATAGCTTGGAGGAAAGACGAGACAGGGGGGATATGATAGAAACATTTAAATATATAAAGGGAATCAACACAGTAAAGGAGGAGACTATATTTAAAAGAAGAAAAACTACCACAACAAGAGGACATAGTCTTAAATTAGAGGGACAAAGGTTTAAAAATAATATCAGGAAGTATTACTTTACTGAGAGGGTAGTGGATGCATGGAATAGCCTTCCAGCTGAAGTGGTAGAGGTTAACACAGTAAAGGAGTTTAAGCATGCGTGGGATAGGCATAAGGCTATCCTAACTATAAGATAAGACTAGGGACTAATGATAGTATTTAGAAAATTGGGCATACTAGATGGGCCGAATGGTTCTTATCTGCCGTCACATTCTATGTTTCTATGTTTCTATGTATCTGTATGTAGCCAATGTGTGTATCTGCATGTGTGTCAGTGTTTGTATCTGCATTTGTCAGGTTATGTATCTGTGTGTCTGTATGTTGTCATTGTGTGTGTCTGTGTATCTGTATGTTGTCAGTGTATCTGCGTGTGTGTGCGTGTGTGCATCTGTGTGTCTGCATGTGTGCCAGGTTGTGTGTCTGTATGTGTGTGTGTCAGTGTGTGTAAATGTGTCTGTATAGCTGCATCTGTATGATTGTGTATATCTGTGTATCTGCAACTGTTTCTGTGTGTACTTGCATTTAAATGCCATCTCCACATACAAACACACCCCTACATTCACACAAACATACTCCATACAAAAACATGCTTACACTCAAACACACAAATAGTGCTCAGTGCTAAATATAACCCTGCATGCATGGGAAAATGGTAGCGCCCCAGCTGTCAAAGCATTGTTGGAGTTGCATGACAGATGGGGATCTACCTTTTGCCCCCTCTTGCCCAAATAATTCATGCACCAGAGCCCTCTCTACTTAAGTCCGCCTCTGCGTTGGGGTGGGGGGCATGATTGCATGCCAGGGAGGGGACGACCGGGTTCAGGGGGCCCAAGCAAATGTTTGCCCAGGGTCCAATCCATATTAAAGACGGCCCTGTATATATGCTCTATCTATATACTTGTTTTATTTCCTATAGCCTACACTGATATACTTTGGCGCAGCCTTGCACTACTGTTGTTGTTTTCTACTCTTATGCTAGAGGGTTAGAGGGTTACACTCTGCCAGGCCGCTGCCTACTTATTACTTATTATTATTATTATTAGACCTCTTTTAACTTTTTACATGATTCTACAGATCTAAGATTGCAGAGCTGCAGAATCTAGTTGTCGATGCTGTTTCTCATTTGCTGGCTGAGAGCATTAACTGATCACTGTAAGCCAATGAATCCCCTCTGTACATGGAAATAAACGCTGAATTTACATATGGCAGCCTGGAACTCTTGATCTTGGCTGGCTATTAATGCCCCAATGACGCCGTTGGAGGTGGATTTACAGGATTAGCAGCAAAGGGATTTAACTCCATATGTGCAGCGTTTTATAGTAAAACATTCTATATGCAGACTCCAGGCACCATGACCACTACAAACCATTTAAGTGGTAATGGTGTTTGGAGTAATCCTGTAAGTACGTAAGGTTTAGACTCCAGTTCTGCAGGCAATGCAGATCTAGAAGATGCTCAATTGGCCAGTTTGATTCACTGGGTTTTCAAACATATGTAATCGCACTATAGATAGATCTATCTCTATACCAGCGTTTCCCAATTGGTGTTAGTGAAACACTTATTGGGGTTCCGCCAAAATGTTTCAAAACAAAATGGCCGCCGGCGGTGAGGGAGCAGTGATCTCCCTGCTCAGCTCTCTTGCACGCACAGCAGTAATGCTGGAGCCGGAATATGACATCACTCCGGCTAAACTAAGAGGCGCGCAAGGTGTGTGTATCTGTGTGCCACTATCTGCCAGTGTGTGTATCTGTGTGTCAGATTTATACACACTGTCACATACAAACACAGATACACACTCCTTGATACACAGACACAGATATACACACATAAATACACACACTTTTGGCCTTCACATTGAACAAATCTCTTCAAAACTTTACCCAAAACTAGGTGCCCTGTACAGAAACAAATATTGCCTAAACCTTACTATAAGGAAACAGATAGTGCAACAAATGCCGGTCATTGATTATGGGGATGTAGTGTATACACCCGCACCGCAAACCCACCTTAATAACTTAATATGTTATAAAATGCATTCTGCTGCTTTGTACTAGAATATAATTACTTTACTTTAGCCACCACTGTGACATGTTAAAAGAGCTAAACTGGCTGTCCCTGGAATCCTAACATACTCTTCATCTTTCCAGCCTTGTGAATAAAAGCATTTCTGGGAAGCTCCCACCCTATCTGAGTAGAATGCTCTCCCCAGCTGTTCCCACCTCCTATAAGCTCCGATCCCGTACTAGCACGATATTTACAAAATACAAAAATAAATTGGCTCAATCCTCATTTTCCTACAGAGCACCGCAATTATGGAATAGACTCAGGGACACAGTCAAATCTTCATTTAAATAAAATATTAAAATATTTTAAGAGATCTATGGCAACATACCTCAGCACAGAATGCACCTGTCATGGTTGAATATATTTACTATCTGTTATGTATTAAATTTATATATATATATGTGTGTGTGTGTATATATATATATATATATATATATATATATATAGTTTGTATATTGTATTTTTGTAATATTGTATCCTATTGTAACAATGCAATGTTTTGTGGACAAAGACCCAGGACATACTTGAAAACCAGAGAAATCTCAATGTATCCTCCCTGGTAAAATATTTTATAAATAAACTTTCTTTAATTTTGGATTAAAGCCAGTAAAACTATGCATCACTAAATATACAACTTCATAATGATGCCAATAAGTAAGTTGAGTTGCAGTACCAGTTCTTGGAGAATGAAGTTTGATTCCTGGCAGAGAAGTCTTGCCTCTCACCTTTCCGAGGTTATTTACATGAACGCCATTAAACTGAGTATTAGCAGTCTGTCATGTTAAATCCAAAAAGTGTGTTCTTTAAGCACTTATTGAGACCAACTGGAAGAAAACCTCATGTAAATGGTTGTGGTTATTATTTTGTAATTTTTAGATGCTTTGTTTGTGTTTATTTTTAAGGCAAAGGTTCTTTGCAGTAAAATCCATAACCTCTTAAAGGAGCACTGCAAACACCATAACCACTACAGCTCCTCGTAAGGGTTGCCAGAAGTGCCCAGAAACCCTCCCAGATTAAGTAGTCTGCTAGAATCTTCAATTGAGCTAAGTTTGGTCATGCAGAGCTGCCCTCAGCTGACATTCACAGCCAATAAGCCATCCTTTCACAGCAGGGTTTAGCTTAATCTTGCATGTTCAGTTACAATTATCTCTGTGTCATAGATTCACATTGTCTCCTTAACTACAGTTCACATAAACATCTCAGTACATCTAATAACATTGTGACATGGCGAACAGACCAGAAGATACTAGGATGGAGAGCAGAGTCAGTCAAGGACAAAAACTCATTATTGATCCTTAGAGTGGTCTAGCAACAAAAAACAAGTGGTTTAAAGGTAAACATAAAGCAAAATATAAGCTAAGGACAGGACAAAATAGATACACACAATCATAAGACTACCCAGGGCGAAGGATTCCAACAACAACTATAAGGCAAGGACCCAACAGTAATACACACTACTGTTTGGAACAATCGTTTTAATTTAAGAGATGGAATTAAGGAAGCAATCAAACCAAATAGACCACAGCCGACTTTTTCAGATACCTCCAACTCAGAAACTATGCAACCCAAGCAACGGTGAGAACCGCCGCTAAAACTAAGTCGACCTTTTTCGAACAAATCTGCCTTACGGAACAATACCAACGGGGCATGATCACCCAACTTTACTCCCACCTCTGTTCCACATGTGATGGCACTGCCCCACAATTAAACTTTTTTGGACAGACATCCAAACACTGATATCCCAAATATTAAGCAGACCGATAGACCTAAACCCTTGGACATTCCTGCTAGCCAAGCCCCTCGACAACTGGTCCAGACCAGAACAACAATTGCTCAACAAAAGAGCACTGGCAGCCAGAAGGGCCCTGGCCCAAACCTGGCTGCAAGCCACCACCCCCCCAATGACAATGGTATTCAATAAAATTAAAGAATGTCACCTCATGGATAAATTGACGGCGCAAATCAGAGGCTCCACGAAAACATTCACTAAGACATGGGAACCATGGGAAAACTACATTGACAAAACATAAATCAGATAACTGAACAAAGGACACAATACTCAAAAGACGAACAAGACGGATGCCCCCCCCCTTTTTTTCTCCCCACACCCCCCTCTCTTCCCACCCCCCCTTTTACCACTATTCTGGGACAACCGGTATTCTGGCCTACAGTTCAACACACTACAGCCACCTAGACAAGATGGCAATTTACACATACTGTTACACTACGTTAACTATGTTTTTGGTTATTATTAATTCTCTTCTGTTACTTCTAATTGTAATACCTATAAAACCACTGACAGATGGGGATTAAGTACAAATGTTATTCATGATACGAAATAAGATCCACATGCAATATTTGATCCTGAACCATGAATAGGCTTTTGCATAAGCCGTACAACTGTGATATGTGATTTCCTCTGTCAATACAAAATAAAGAATTATAAAAAATAAAAAAAACATACTGATTGAATAGTATGTAAGATCAGTTGTGTATTGCATAATCTTATCTTGTTATAGCATTGGATAACATTGTGTAAAGTTGTCTGATTGTGGGCCCTGCCTCTCTACAGCTGATGCAACATTGCCAGACATGACAGCAGCTATAGTGCAATGGTATGCAGAGTTACAGAAGGTGGAATGGGAGAGCAGGCTAGCGCTTGCCTGTGAAAACTAGCAACAGCTGGAGTTTAAAGATCAGATCACCTTACTGTGTAAACCCATTGCACTGTATAATGCTGATAAGCATTAAATTACTCGGTTATAGTTCAACGGAACAGATGCATCCTGACGCTCAAAAAAAATAAAAATAAATAAAAGTGCGTGTGTAGTTTCAATTTCACAGGAGATTTGTTTTGGAATTATCTCCTCGTATTTCATATAATGATGACTACATTTGGTAACTAGGGTGCTGGCGAAGTTGAAGTAAAACTGGTGCCCCTGGATGTCTGTGAATTCATATAAATCCATCCATAATATATTTACAAAAGCTATGTTTAAAGCAGCAAGCCATAACTAAAATAACCCAGGAAACAGGAAACTAATTCAATTAATAAAACATTATTAAAATGGAATGATAACAATAATATTAAAGTGATCTGTACCTCCTTGAACCTCACTCTGTCAGACACATTTTTTACCTTTGGATCACAGAACCCACAAATAGTAGTAGGCAAGAAAACCCGCAAAATCTGTAGAAATAGAAGAATGTGAAAGGCTGAATTTGAAAGTAACTTTTAAAACAATAGCAGAAAGTTGTAGTGGGGAAGAGATGTGGAGTGAGTTCTGGGATAAGTATAAGTCAGTAGAGTCAGCTAAACCAAACTTATGGAGGATGAGAGGCAGCTAAAGTTTTACAACATACAAAAAAAGCAAACTGCAGTGCAGGGCTAGCTCATTGGCTGAGATTGTCATCTGATCATTGTTAGTCAACGAGTTGCTCTGCACTCCCTGGCTTAGCTCAGACAGAGAGCTTTTGGCTCTCTATCTGAAGTATTGGAGACAGGGAATGGCACCCAGCAGATCCTAGGTAAAAGAGCAAACTATTCTAAAACGGTTTGTGTTTGAAAGGGAAAGTACTGCACTATCTATAGACAAGCTTTCTTTTAACTGTATAATGCACTTTAATACAAACCACGTATTAACCAGTACCAGCAAGTGTACTAAATCCCATATGTTATTGAATTACATGGAGACAAAACACCAAAGGCTAAAAACAGATTTATTGATAAAGAATAAACACAAAAAAATAAATATGAATTGGAATAGACAAATATTAAAAAACAAAAAAAACAAAGTGATAAGCCATGAGTCTTTAAAAATTATTTTTAAAAAATATAAAAAATAAGTAAATGGAAAATTCTCTCAATTGGTCCAGATTCAATACATTTTAGGCCCTCTGAGGGACTTGTAGTTCGGGATTATGGGTAGCTCCGTTGGAAAGCTTCTCTTAAAAGTGATTTAAATTCTTGGTGGGAATATTCCAGCATTCCTCTGTTGTGATCCTCTGCTCAATCTAGTTTCACCTGTGTGGACTTTCTCAATGACTATTTGACAATTTACAGTAAGGGCGTGGCAGGGCTCTCCTATCACTATAACCACTATAGCACGCTGTAGTGGTTATGCCGATTGAAGTGTTCTGTTAAGAAGGCGAGTACTTGCAATATCTCTTTTGTGATTATTAGTTCATTGTTTTAGTCTGGACTGGATTCAAAGGAATCAAGGTCCATGTACGTTCAGCAGGGACAGAATGACACTGGCCCCTATCAATTATCTTCTCAGCAATCAACTGCTAAGAATGATTCAGCACACATCAGCCCTAATAACTAGGCAATCTGCAATCTCCAAGCACTTATCACGCACCTCAACAAGCATTGACACATGATATTCCCTCAATATTTAGCTTGACATCCAAAATAACCCACATTAATCCCGGTTTTAGACGGTTCAGATTATTCAGACAATAAAACCGCCTTTTTCTAATACAAACAAGGTTTTTATTTTTTTTATAGCTGTACTCTAAGACTCACTTAATATGGTTAGAACACTTTTTATTCTATATCCCTTGACCTGCGGTGATAAAGTCTATAAAACAGGGATTATCACTAAGTGGTGAAAACCCTACTATTAGTAGGGATCCGTGAGATTCTGAAGCAATCTGGTGAAATTATACTTTTTGTTACATTGTGATACACACATTGTAAATTGTTTATTTTTTGTTCCTGTATGTATCCATACTACACTATTAAAGGGACAGTTTAGACTGCTTAATTCACAAAAACAACATTATCTAAATTAAGTTTATTTATTTTTTAATCACAGGAGGCTATCGGGCGCATTCTTAACTTCAGTGGTTAAACAGTTTTCGGACAGTTTAATCCCGAAGTTGCGTCCTGAGACAATCTTGGCTCCCCCCGTTGGCATCCGGCTTCTGACATTTCAGAAGCCAGATGCCGCAAGGGGGAAGCTGAGATCAGCACTGAGGCAACTTCTGGGTTAAACGGTTCTCAGTTGGATCTTCTGCACCTTTGTTAAGATGAAGTTATTTTGGTCTACAATAACCAAAAATTTAACAAAAGGGTTGTAAGGGTAAGTAAGTGATTTCTACAAAAAATTCAAAGTGAAGGTAGCACATAACTGGTTGTGAAAGGTTATCTTCTTAGACTCAAAGTGAAGTTTCTGCAGACACAATAACAACCATATCTCTAATTGTAACATTAGACATCAGAGTGTAACTCATTAATTTCAGAAGGTAATAATGCCTTCTATTGTGTTCTATGGAATTACGCAGCTTAACCCCTTAAGGACCAAACTTTTGTAATAAAAGGGAAACATGACATGTCAGACATGTCATGTGTCCTTAAGGGGTTAAGTGAGCTTCTTCTCAAAAGGCAGCACATATGAACTAGGAGGCCCCTAAATGATAAAGAAAACTGAATATCTTTAAAGGGACAATATAGTCACCAGAACAACTACAGCTTATTGTATTTGTCCTGGTGAGTAGAATCATTACGTTCAGGCTTTTTGCAGTAAACACTGTCTTTTCAGAGAAAATGCAGTGTTTACATTACAGCGTAGTGATAACTTCATTGGCCACTCCTTAGATGGCTGCTAGAGGTGCTTCCTGGGGCAGTGCTGCTGACATTCAGTGTCTTCACCCTCTGGATGGAGACACTGAACTTTCCTCATAGAGCTGTATTGATTCAATACATCTCTATGAGGAGATGCTGATTGGTCAGTGCTGTGTTTTACTTGTGCTGGCTCTGCCCCTAATCTACCTACTTGACAGTCTCAGCCAATCCTATGCGAAAGCATCCTGATTCTGGCTCACAGAATCACTTCTGATAATGTCAGCCAAGCAGGTAGCAGCTGTAGATTTTAATACATGGAATATTTTACTATATTTAAGGAGGCAAGGGAAGGGCGTGGGGGGAACCAGATGATGGTTTTAATACATGTTTGTTTTCCTGACCCTATAGTGTTCCTTTAATTTTAACTTTGCACTTCCTACTATAATCCTCTATACTGTATAAGGTGATTATTCATAAATTCAGGATCCTACAAATAGTAAGTGTAGCCATCAGGAGGTCAGTTTAATGAAAGTCAGTATAGTAAGTTTACAACAAACTTTCAAAACTAAGACAAAAAGAGACGAGATGGATAATATCTGCATTTCAGATGAATGGAAGGTTTATCTAAAATTT